CAACTGAATTGTTTAACAATCTGTTCACTCATCTGCAGAACGCGGCCGAACGACGGCGGCTGAAGGCAGCGGTGGGAAACCTGTTTGTGGGGAAAGTATCGTGAGCAACCACCATGCAACCAAATCGAAATTGGAACAGCTTGATCAAAAGTTGAGCGCAGGTACGTCGAAAGAGCGTCCTCTTTCGATATCCTAGTCTGAACCTGGAGCTTCGTTGGCTCACGCCAGGAACAGACCCGTGAGCCCCCTGCTTTGAAAAGCGATTTGGTGGTGAACAGCCCTTCGGGACAGGGTTTGACACACACACACACACACGGTGCCGCTTGGCGGCGCTCGTGCGAACGACCTGAATAGGTACCTAAAAAGCCTTAGAAAAAACAGAAAGAAGCACAGAAAGAGCAGCGCTAAGAGGGCAAGAGAGAAAGGTAGGAGTAGAAAAAAGTGAATACTTAGCCCTTGACTGGGGTAGGGAAACGAGCCTCAAGAGCAACCTAAAAAGCCTGAGAGAAAGCCCACGAAATGACCAAAAGCGCAAGAAGGAAAGTGGGGGGGGCAGGGAGGTGTATGTACATGCGTGTGTCCGTGTGTGTGTGTATGAATACTTAGCACTCTAGAATTACTGAATACTTAGCGGAAGTGAATTAATTGCAATGGTTAGGGAGCGGGACTTTAGTCTTAGACCGCCCGGGTAGAGAAGACTAGAAAAGGGACAACAGAGGGAAAAGCACCGACACACAAGTGTGCCGAGTACCATTGCCCTCTGTTACCCTAATTACTGGGTGGAAGGGGTTGGGGTGTTTGGGGTAGAAACCGCGTTTGGGTTCATTCTCCGTACAAGCCCGGCGGCTATTGGAGCAGTTGATCCAGTGGTGAAAAAGAGTCAGTTGAGAAAATCCAAGGAATGAAGGATCCGAAAAATCTGTTACACGATTTCCAGCATGACTTCAGCGCCCCAGTGGATCACACCCAGCACCCAAGTGGGACGGCTGAGCGGTTCACACTCTGACATTGGTTTTCGGTTGTATAACTCAATTCCCAGGTGGAAAAAGGTGAGAGAACCGCAAGGTGAAAAGGTCAGCGCAACTGAATTGTTTAACAATCTGTTCACTCATCTGCAGAACGCGGCCGAACGACGGCGGCTGAAGGCAGCGGTGGGAAACCTGTTTGCGGGGAAAGTATCGTGAGCAACCACCATGCAACCAAATCGAAATTGGAACAGCTTGATCAAAAGTTGAGCGCAGGTACGTCGAAAGAGCGTCCTCTTTCGATATCCTAGTCTGAACCTGGAGCTTCGTTGGCTCGCGCCAGGAACAGACCCGTGAGCCCCCTGCTTTGAAAAGCGATTTGGTGGTGAACAGCCCTTCGGGACAGGGTTTGACACCCAATCATGGCCTTCCCATGTGCTGAAGATGGCAAGGATATAATGGACCAAGGAAATGGAGATGGGAGACCCTTTCAAACGACAGTTCGGGGCGGAGTTGGGGATGCTTTCCCTTTTGTTCCCTAGGCCACTTGAGGCCATGGAAATGCCGTGTTGCAGGTTTTTTTCTATCGGATCCGTCACCGATATGGGTTGTTTTCCAAGGATCAACGTACATGACCTCCCGGATCTGTTTACCATGGTGCTACTTGTCGATAACCCGATAAGCTTTCAGTTCGACGCCAAACATGGGAAACCATGGTGCAACTGATTTCTTACCTTTTGTGAGTTCAGTCCAAAGAAGGCCAGAAGCTTCGGTTGACCCCGAAGCTCACTGTGCCTTCTTAGGCTCACCGGCGTTCTCATCATCCATCACCTTGCTTAGACCCAGGTCAAGTGCAAGACCAGCTCATTAACGTGAAGCAGCTCTTTGCCCGTCGTCTGCAGAACGCCTTAAACCGACGCCCATATGTGTTGTTTGTCTATGTTCTCAAGATATGCATAGGTGGAGTCATAGGTGGTTTATGGCTGATTACATGATACATCCCGACATGGCGGATTTGCGTACCTCCCGGTTGTGGAGGAGACGTCCCCGTAACTGCGGAATCCGCTCATTTTGAGATGGACCCAGCTTCGACATATTCACCCCGTGAGCATCCCTGAGTAGTATACCATCCAGTTTGTTGAAGTTTAGTATAGTAGTCGTGGCTTATCGGGCAAGTTTTGCGCCTATGAAACCCATGAAAAGGCTTTAACTAATATGATGTTCACCAAGTCCTTCTACTCCAACGTCAATGTGTTCATTCAGGCCAATGACAGCGCGTTTGCGGCCTTGCTCGAGAACGGAGAGGTGGTGACTTGGGGCGATCCAGACCATGGTGGATGCAGCAAAGATGTTCAAGAGCAGCTCAGAGACCTGGCTGGCAAAGTGCGGTACTGGTAGAAGCAGAAGTGAGCCCTACTTTTACTTTGTACACTTCCTTCCTAGCGGGTGCAGCATCTCGAGATCCTGAGCTCTGAGCGATGGGGGATTGCCTGTTAGAACACGGTGATATCTTAAATCCATTCACGGTGCAAAGACCTCTGTGGGGTCTTGAAGGTCTTGCTGTCTTGTGCTGTGCGCGTGTTCACTATCACTGGTAAGATTCTTGCCAAGGAGATGTTTGCCAAATTGAAGCGTCCGAATCAGCCTTTGCGGCGCTCCGAAGTGATGGCCGAGTGGTGTGCTGGGGGGTGAAGGAGATTGGTGGCGATTGCAGCGACTTGAACCTCACGGATGTGAAGAGTCTCTCGCATTTGCTACGGCCTAACAGCAAGGACGCTATTAATAGCTCCTGGCATTACTACAAGTAACAAGAAGCTACTACAGTAGTAACAAAGGGCATCGCTACTAGTAACAAGAAGCTGATATTGTTTTGGCAGAGGTCTATGGCCTAATGCATATGTTCAAAAGCTTAGGAACACAATCCGATCACATCTTTTTTGAAAGAGAGGTGGCATGTGCCAACTACTTCTAAGCTGTGGACAGCGTCTTACGCCAGTTAGGCATACTTTGTTTTTCCTCACCTGTCAGGTGAGGGTTGTTAGATATTTAAAGTGTGCCGCAACTCCTCTGCTTCTCATCCTCCGCTCCACTCCGCTCGGCCGGACCTCAACAGCAAGCATCAGCAAGCTCCAGATTGCAGTGGGCACTCTCCGACCTCAACACACCATAAACAACGCAAAACACAACCACAAACGACACAACCACAAACACACAGCGATAAACACACCCGCAACACACACACACAACAACTGATTGAAATGTCATGGTGGGGATCATTCGAAGTAATTGTTGTTCTTTGTGACATAGAGGTATGTAGAGCATAATTTTTTATGGTTGGCCTCCTGTTTTGCTGCTTTTGGATTTGCAGCGATTTCGGGTCCTTTGCTTGTGTAAGATCCTGCTGATGCTGAAGAACTGTATGGTCAGGGCAATAGCTCAGAGTCGTGACCGTTGGACCGTTGTGAGGTCATGGTAGGTCAACTTAGATCAGTGTCCTGAGGTGGGTTCGAAGCTGGAGATCGACCGCCAATTCCAGTCGACACCTGATGTACTTTTGCCAGGTTCTGTCCGATGTCCAAGGTTTGGTACTTCCCACTTCATGGTTCCCTCAAGTGTAATCAGAATCATGTTTGTTTAGATCCGGAACGTTCGGCTGCATCGCATTGCATGGGTTCTCTTTCTGTTGCGTTTGAGGTCTTTGTTCTTCAGGGCAGGCCTTTGCTGCCCTTCTCGGCGATGGATCTGTGAAGACATGGGGCAGGCCACATGCTGGAGGATGCTGCACCGCAGTGAAAGAGAGTCTTTGGGCGCCAAAGTTGGGTGAAGAAACGGGAATCAGATGAAACTATTCTAGGTGATACAAAAGAAGTTGGACCTCATACACAAGGACGAGTCCATTGACATGGCCTGTACAGAGGTGGCTTGCTGAATTGGACCCGGGGATCCGGACTGGACGCCAGGTTTGGTTTGTCCTCCACATTGAGCACTAAATACCACGTCACGTGGGACTTGTGAGTACTTGGAGCATGCACTATGCAGTTGGTCCCACTGACTACAAACTGCAAGTCTTGACTGATTTAGACAGCTATCCTGTGAATCTGAACGGCAGAAAAGCCTTCTCAGAAGTGGAGTGTAGATCTCCATCGCATTTGATGTGTTTTGTTGAGACTTCCCCAACCTGAAAAACAATCCGACAATGAAAAGCTAGCATAGTCCCCTGTGTGGAAATCCGTGAGCACGATGTGCTTCCCTACCGGGCCGCAGATTTGGTGAAGATGTTGTGTAGACAAATCCGATAAGTTTATCCATATACTTAAAACAGTCAATAGTAGATACTTGCGACTAAGGCTACCTACTAAGTACTTGCGACGACCTACCTTCATTTTGAGTTTCAATTATCCAGTATCAGTGTCAGGTAAACTTCCACAACATCAGGTAACTTTGCTGATTGTCTTGAGCCGTTTGAGACTCCAGGGGTGTCTGGACCCATTAGCCACAAACAGTAAATTGGCCGACCTTTGGACCACTGGGCTAAGACCATTCGTTTTCACCCATGGGGCGGGATAGATCTGATTCCATTCCAATTCATCGCTGCACAGGGCTGTTGGACCCGTGATCAGGTCTTCAAGACGTGGCCCAACTTTGTGGTTCCTCCGGGGCTTTTGCTGCACTGCTGGGCAGTGGCGAAGTTGTGACCTGGGGCGATCCCAAGCACGGCGGGTGCTTTGGGGAATCGCACTGGCCCGGCTGACCGAAACAAAAGGGCGCGGCGGGGCGCAGACCGGGTGTCGTGTCGCACCACCCGCGAGGCGGGTGGTAGAGTCTGGTAGAGCCCACAGTGTCAGGGACTTTCCTTGGAGGGTTCCTGACAGAACTTTTCCACAAAGTCACATGCGGCAACAAGAAGGAGGAAGATCATGCACACCTTCGTAGGGAATTAGGGATGTACAACATCAGGACCCGTGGGAGAGTGCTTGTCTTCAGCCTACCCCCACGCTGCCCTCATTCATGCTAGAGGACGCACATGCCACTCAGGTGGAGTGAAGGCAAGCACGCCCAGCAGTGCTCCTTCCAGTGGTCCCTCCACGCAGCCTGGCATAAAACGCATCAGATGGGAACTCGCGACCTCACGCAGGTGCAACTCCATGATGCAACTGGATTCGCGGCCTTCACCAAATCCAAAAGAAGCGTGGAGAAGGGTATCTCCCCGCACTGATTTGCTGCCAATCCACAGCAGAATGTTAAGTTAGAGATTCGATGATTCAGCTACTTCGACAGTGCCGCCGCAGAGCTTGTCTACCTGGACCTTCGCCCCTATCATTCCACTTACTCCTCTTTTGTTGCGGTTGAACGGAGGAGAACGTGTGCTCGATTCCATTCAATTGAACGGACAGACAAGGAGTAAGTGGGGGTCTACAGCTCCAGAAAGGCACCGGGACCACGTCGCGTTGATTTTGACTCCAGCAAAAGGTCAAGTCAAGTGAACAAAAGGGACCTTTGTGTCATTCTCATTTGGGGACTTTTGGCCATGTGGAATGCAATCCTCATCTAGAAGCTCCTTTGGTCTTCACAAGGGCGGCGTTGTAAGATACCCGATGTCATGTGGACCCCTCGATGTTGTTTGCCCAGGCCAGCCCGACAGAGGCCCTCTTTGCCTGGCCAACCAGCCAGTCCAGTGAGTCCAGGACGTCCGGAGCTTGAGGGGACCGCTGCGTCATGCTGTGTCCAGCTGAGCACAGGAAACGACCCAATTATATATATGAAGTGTTTGTAGAGTACGGTTTTCAATTTAGGAAATATCACTGTATACAGGGTACAGTGAATCTGAATCCCTTATAAACAGTGAATCCCTCCAATTGATTGAGCACGTTTTCCAATATATACATATTTGGAGTGATTCACTGTTCTGATATGTTCTGTCAATTTTGGCGGTTGCTTGGTGTCAACTATCCTGTTTTGTCTATGATGCAATGATGTGTTTAAGGGCTTGATCAAGGAAGAAAAAGGAACAACAGGAACAACAGGAACAAATTTTGTAGATACAGGTAGAACACGTGGAAGGTTTGGTGATGTTTGGTGACAGGTGTGCAATCTGAGGTCGATGGGAACATGTTCCAGGTAATACTCTTTTGGAGAGGTAGGTCCCTTTTGCTCGCCTTTGCGAGTGCACATGTTCAGGACTGTTCTAGAGCTTCGTGTAGCCAGGAGTTCGTCAAGAGCATGTTCACCTGCTCAATCAATTGCCTTCTTCTTCAATGTATGCCCAATACGGGATGAATAGCGTGGGCCGGATATGAATACGGACCAAGATAAAGATATTGTTTTCACTAGCATGCAGCTTCAAAACAACCATGACAATGGAGAGTACCTTACTGTCCAGCTTTGGTATTGCAATATTAATGGTCTGTAAACTTTGCAAACAACCCTAAGATATGTTTGGAAATGTTAGACAGCAAATAAAAGAATGATTTTATACCGAATACCTGATTCCAAGGCTTATTGGAGTTCCTTTGTGCAAGCCATGCAAACCTATCCAGTAGCATGTTCAACAATGCACACCAGCTGAGCATTTGGCAAGGAGTCTTTCCATGGAAGAACGAGTTTTGAACGAGTCAGCCCGAACGGAGACTCGAAGAACGCTCTGAGGTGAGCCTGAGATCAAGCGTGCGAAAGCTCAGTGAAACGCTGTGCGATGCGTGGTGATGAGGTGATGAGAAGGATTGAACATGTTGGAAGGTGGCAGATGAAGGTGGGTGTTGGAAGATGGCACAATGGATAATATCCAAAAAACACATAAAACACATGAAATCGTTGATCTTCAATGATTGATTTTAAATCCCCATATACCCTACCATAATTATGTGGGTCACATGAAGAATCCATTCTTTGTTTTAGACTAACATCCCCCGGTATGCCCTGCCTGTACATGCAGGAATGCATGTACCTTCAATTCCGCCTTCAGCATTTCAGAGTGTCAGTCTTTCATTTGCTGTTTGGCATATTTGCTGTCACAAAGGGGCCTCCGAAACATTCCTTTCCCGGATCATCGCGCTGGCGTGCCAAGGCATCACCAGCGCCAGTCGCCTCTTGCAGAGGTCCGGTTTCGAAAGGGCGCTAGGCAGAGCGAAAAATGGTAGTCCTTCTGGTCGAAGATGTACTTTTCGGGTCAGTTTTCGAGACGGATTGGTTTGATTCTTGATTATACTGCAGGATATTGCAGGAGGTGCCTGATTGTCCTTTCGGGGGCTTTCGGGGGGCGTTCGGGGCGTCGCGCTTCGAGACAGCTTTGCATCATATATACCACTTTTCTTGTGACAGCCAACTTACGTCCAAGAAACATGGCAATGAAGGATTCATAAGGCCTCAACCTGTGTTGGCCGACCCTTGGGTTGGAGATAATCATGCCACGGCGATGTCAGTGTTGGGCAAAATTCAGGAACTGTTGGCAATATGGCCGTATAATTGCATAATTATATATATCATCTAACCTACATCATTCCTCAAGAGGGCACGGCCAAGCCAAACCTGTAAGAAGGCTTTGCCGAGGAGACACCCCTCCAGTTTTTGGGAAGACAAACTCAAAAAGACTTCTTGGCATCCTATGGAAGGGGGGACATGAAGAAACATTGACATTTTAATGCACTTCAACTTCAACAAGCTTGGGTCAATTGTTGATCATGTTCTTGCTATCTTAATGTTTGCATCCAGCGGGCACAATTTGAGGCAATGTGTCCGCCAGGCATGAGAGATGCTTCACAGATTTGTTGTTTTTGAGGGGTTAGGAACTGCACAGCTCAGGGGGATGACAAGAAAACGTTTCAACTGACCCCCAAACAAGGGCCTCTCACCAGCGCTCAGAGTGCCAAGGAGGGGAATGAAGTCGCTCGGACTTAAGTTCCCCCGGAGATCTAGGAACCAAATGAATAGTGCGAGCGCTTCTTCAAGGAAGCTCAGGTGGGGGGCTTCCTTGAAGAAGCGTGAGCTATCCTGCGTCCATATGTAGTAGCTTACTTGTAGGTACTGGCTGGCTTCTACTAGCTACCGACCTCTATAGCTACTACTACCGCCTCTGAACGGCCTACCCCCCTTTAGAAACAAAAACAGGAATCCTTTCGTTGGCCTCCAGTTGTTTTTTTTTTCTTCCTGCCACTGTCCTCCCGTTGAAGGCAAAGCTCCCAGAGCTCGCAAAACTGAGCGTGGAGCCTGAGCAGGACCTTTGGTGGAGCTAAAGGGTTTAGAGTTTAGAGTTGACTACACCTTTGCGGTGCCAGGCACTGCCTGCCTGATGATGCTGCGCTCAATATAATAGTATAGAATTGGTTCATCCAAGAAAAACAAGGTGTCCTTGATGGTCTTTGTCTCATGCCGGTGGCATGGAGGAGTCTGCTAGCAAGGCCCAGAGGTGGTTGAACGGGTTGTGAATACATGGATCTTCAGTGGTTGACCTTTTATGACTGAGGTGAGGTGAGATCGAGTTTCAAGATAGAGCTTGGATGTGGCCCGAATTGTCATAGTGCAAAGGCGAAGATACTGTATGTTGAAAAGCAAATGACTGTCAAGAGTTGATTCTGGCCAAACGTCCAGCTGAACGGATCGTTTTTGAATTCCGAGCGAATCCATCCTGCTCTGGAATGGCTGGCACGTTTCGAGGACTGCCTTCTTTGAAAAGGCCTTCGGGAATGAGAGTAGATTCCAGACACGACCCAAGTGGCAGCAACGACCCCAGTAGGTTCCGACTGGATCGGAGTGAAGTTTCGAAAACCAGGCTGCGACTTGTCGTGCTGGTCATTACAGGTCTACAAAAGAACACAACTCCTTTGGTCAGGCTAGGTCATTTGAGGCGGGGTGGCTTTGAGGTGGGATGACTTGGACGTGTAATTCCGTCGCCATACATGTGACTACATGTGCAAGTTTTTGGGAGGAACTCAGCCGACAAGCAGCCAAGCATTCTCAAAAGACCGTGTGGTAACAAGTCCCGAGGCATTAAGGCTGTCCAACTAGCCAGCTGGTTTCATGATGATTGAGCATAGACAGCAGCCGAAAAAGAATTACCAAGATCAATCACCGGCCGATGGGACCTGGAGTTGGTCCATGGCAAAAGTAGTTGCATGATGTGCCGATCAGTGTTTGGCCCCGCATACTCTTGGTATTGATTCATTTGTCAACAATCATCATCTACGGGATTTGAGTGGCATACAGGAAATGTCCAAGTTTTGGGCAATTCTTGAATTGCCAACTGCAGCAAATCACAGCCAGCGATAGCCATGAGAACCAGCCTTTTTTTCAGCTGCTGTTTCTTTTCCACACGTACCCACGAGCTTTAAAGAGCCTGCGTGCGGAAGGATGACGAAGTGTGTTTCGGCTTCGCATCCTCCGTGTGTGGGCTTGTCCAAAGCCACATTCTTGCATGTTTCTTGCCCAGCCACTTATTAGCACAGGCAGGTAGGTCTAAGCTAGGTGGTGCTTTGTTTCAGTTGGAATTCTCTTCACAGTGCAAGGCTGAGGTTTGCCGTGCTGACTGCTTTTAAAAGCACTGCAACCTGTAGGTCCGTTGGGGCTGCAAAAGGCCCTGCGGGTGTTTGGAATTGCCAGTGTCGGGTGGCTCCTGGACATGAGTGGACATGTACAGAGATGTGACTGTCCAGATATTGATACCAGGCAAGTATTTTATCATGTACTTGCGCCAAGCTTTTGACCTGGCAATTGACCTTTCGTTTAGCCAGAAGGCTAGCATCAGGACTATACTCAAAGGGACAAAACTTGCGATGGGCGGGCATTGATCACTACAGAGGTTTCTTCCTTCCACCCGCTGAAGGAGATCTGTCCTGACGGAAGCAGCCAATGCAATTGAATTGAACGCAACTCATATACTGTATATATATATATAAACCAATAAACCAGGCATTATATAGTGTGTATATATAGAGTATTCTGTGGCATTTGGGCTATCAATCAATAGACTTTAACATACAAGATCCTCACTCAGAAGTAGTTTCAAGACACTTTTGGAATTTATACCATACTCACCCTGTCCAAGTGATTGCCACCCAGCCAGCCGGGACCGCGCCACCACGTGGGTCAAGAGGATCCTGAACCCGTGGCAGCTAACGCACACCGTCCTCCGCGCTTTCACGGTCCTGTGACCGAATTGGTACAGAAGCATGAGTGCTTTGTTCAGTATAGAATGGATGTGTGTAATTAGTATAGATTCGGAACACCTCCTGACCTGCTACCTGGTTTGGGGCATACACCAAACACATCTTGGGAGATGTTGGTTTAAAGCCCTCAAATCACCAGGATAAAGATTCATCACGGACTGTTAAAGCGTTCTTTGGCTCATCCGCGCGATTGCGCTGGATTGAAAAGTTACGATACTGCGGCAACTTCGTAAGCTTATAAAGTCATATTCAGTGGCTGTTCCTTACATAATATGTGAAGCAGTATGTTTCAAGCTTGGTTCAAGGATCGGCGAAGGATAGGTCTTCAAAGTCAAAAGGACCATGGGTTTGAAAGACTTTGCCGCATCTGAGATTTGCAGGGATATTGGTACAAAAAACACTGATATTTAATGTGGATGATGTTGGGACGTGATTCTTCCCGAATTCTTGCCGCAGTTCAGACATGTCAGACATGACATATCAGATTGACCGTTATTGTGCTCCAAGGGTGTTGAGGATTGTATTGCAAAGCACATAAATAATGTCCGCCAGGAACGATGAACATTAATGAACAAACGATAGGAGAAGTTATAATATTTTTCACATTCTTGTACTTATGGACTCCCACACCTCGTTGCAGAAGACTAATACACGACTTCTTGCTGCTGAACTTGGGTGGAGTTTAGGGGGTTAGAGCTCCGATTCATCGCATTTGGACGATCTCAGACGCGCATGTCATGCATTCAGACGAGTATTTCCATCTACAGTATACTCCTCCAGCAGAAGGATGAATCTACCTGGCCTCTTGAATGTTCCTCACTCGTTCAACATCCAAACATCACTGTCATCCATGACCTGTCGTGAGGGTGACAAAGGAGATCCCTCGACCCAAAGCAGGTACCAAGATGCCCAGCCGGATGATCTGTGTCGCTTGATCCAGGACGGGGAAGTGATGGTGAGCATGGTCCATCAACGCAGCCGGGAGCTTTCCATGTTTTAAGTTTTGGAGGTTTGGCTCGGAATTTTTGCCCCTGCTCTATACTGCTGCGTACTAGTGACAGCAACAACCGCTAGAACAACAACAACAACAACTACTACTACTACCACCACTACCACCACCACTGCTAGTGGTGATTTTGGTCTCTTTGTGTTTTTTTCTTGTTCGGGTCATGTTTTGTTCGGGAGGCGCCCAGAAATTGCCGACCCTTGGAACTGAAAGACACGTATGGTGATTTCCTGAGAAACAAGCGAACCTTCCTTTCCAGTTGCAGGAGGTTTAGCTTCGTTAGCATGTAACATGGTCCTGTGAGACCGGCAAACACCAAAACAAAGCACCAATACCATAGACAGTTTTCCTGTTGGGGTCTCAGTTTTGGTGTATCCCCCAAAGCTACCTTAACAGAAACTGTTGTTGCACTTGGTCAAACACATGTAATCAATGCAACTGGACCAATTTAGAGAGGGGCTGGACTATTTAAGGGGGTATGTTGCCATTGGGGGAACATGATTCCTCTTCACAGTCTTGGCATCAGATTTCTAAAGAGTGGGCCATTGAATCACTTAGTGAGCATGCTGGGCGTCTTAAGAAGGATCCAGAGACATTCGTACCGTATCAGTTCGAGGATGATGGATCCGCTGTCAGCTCTAGCAAAAACCACCACTGTGAGGATTTGCTTTTCGATCACTTGCTGGACGAGGCTCACTCCTATCAGGCACAATGGGCCATTTGGCTCTTTGCTCCCATGCAACAGCAGACTTGCATGGAAGCCCCAGCAAAATCATTGACCATCAGGCCTGTGGAATGCAGACCTCTTTGTATATTCTCGCAGGCCTCTATCTATATTATATTTTGGATTGGTCTTCTCTTGATCTTGTCGGACTGTTCACGGACGGATTTGTGGTGCCGTTGGGTCGGGCGGTGTCTGCGTGTCCAACCATGGAGCTGAAACAGCTGTGCCGTCGGTCTCATGATGCCTGTTCAGTCCACCCCGGCCACCTCCATTGTTCCCCGCATCCGCAGCTCAATTTGGCCATGCCTCATGTTATTTGGTCAAGTCCCGAAAAATTGAAAACTAACACAAACTACTATATAGACGCTTTTTCTACTTGATGTATTTTGACATATTTGGCCTATTTTTGTTTTCAGAACATCACTTCCTGGTTCTCTCTTTTGGTGAATCTTTATGGACAGGTTTGGAGTTTACAGTGTTTCACCACTACTTTCGTGTTCACCATCCCAAAGTCACTCTGTATCCCCTTAGTTATGGTAAATCGTTGTATGACTTTGTTTCATCCGGTTTTACATGATTTCTCGTTTTCAGGATCATGCAATTGCAGACTCGCAGGAACTGGGAATCATTCCATCTTCCAACATCTCGTCCCTGTGGCAGTTGATTCTCAAGCACCCGCTGACAGAGAAGCTCATTCTTTGGCCGTGGAACCCAGACGCCGGGCCATTCGTGCAACCGGATGCGTGCGTCTTTTTTGCTCCCAAGGAATGACTCCTAAGAAATGGATTGCGGTGTCTCATTCCGGAAACGGATGACCTACATCTTACGGGAATGAGACTTACCCCCCCAGATGAGGGAATTCCCTGCACCCCCGGCTCTTTTTCACATCGCTGGTGATAGCCGGTTGCTCGTGGGAATAGGATGATAATTATATTCAGGAGTGAGTTGTTCGTTTCTCGTTCTTATAATCTCAACAAGAGGCATTTACACAGACCTACCAGCTGTGTTGACTTGTCTTCAATGCTGTCAAGTGGTTACTTGGGTACTCGTCCAAGTATGAACACTAGCTATTTGACCTTTACTGTCCAGCCCTGTAGACATGGCTTGTCGAAGAACCAGCTCAATACGAGTGTTGTATGATCGATACTGTACTTGATCTATTTGATGCTTTCTCCGGCTGCGGACAGCCATTTGCATGTTCTGTTCATTGCAAGTGCAACATACGTTCTAGAGTGCTAGCTTCATCGTACTGTTGGGTTAGTTAGTATGCTTTGGAATCAGCCTGAAAGGGGAGCTTCGATAGCCATCAATGGTTATAGCCATTCTTGGATAGTGCCAGCAGCCTCAACATGTGATGCAACTTTGGCCTTTTGGGCCTTTTGTTATGTTGGTGATTGTGTCATTGTACTCTCCTTGGTCTCAAGACACCCTTGGAGTTATCAAACATCCAATGTGAACACTTTGGCTTCGTTAATGAGCAGGTGTTGTGGGTAAAGGGTATTTGCGAAGCCAGGAGTTAGGTGTTAATCCCACAGCTTCTATCTGATGGGGCAGTATTAGCTATTTGATTCAATATAGAGCAAGAATGCGTCAGAGGCGTGGGGCTGTGTTCACTTGGCCCTAGTCAAGTCTACATAGACCTATTGTGTGACTATATTTCCAGGAACCAAGTTCATTCAAAAGGCGTTGCTTCGAAGAGTACGTGTTTGGTCTTTGGTGTGTGTCAGTTCCAGAGAAAACTCCGAAGCACAAGTGCCAGGCTGTACAACGGAGGAGGCTCGATGATGTTATCAGACATTGTCTCGCTTGATGCTGCAAGTTCTTTGAGATGGTCGTGCTTTGTCATGCCTGCTTGACCATGTTACATTGTGACTGTTTGGAGATCTGGGCTGATCTTAGGGGTGCGGACCGCAGTAACATGTTCAGGTAACAACAGCAATGACATGTAGTAACCTGCTTTGATAATCTTTGGGAAATGTGTCTTTTTGCAATTTTGTGCAGACGTTTTTGTTGATTCCTGAATCCCATACTTGCAGCACGACTGTTGCACACTTCTCACCGTTGGGAGATACCGGGCCAACCTAAAGTTAAAAATCACACAGGTATTGTCTTGTAAGACCTTGTCAGGCAGCAAGGGCGCTGGAAATTATCTTTGTGACCTCAAGGTACTGATTGTGATTGATTGTGCCATTAACAGAGCAGAACGGGACAGTACAAAGCAGTAGGATAGATGTATATATTGTATGAGTATGTATGTTCACCAGCACTGTGCTGGTTTACCCTTGTAACTGTACGGTAAGTTTGATTTTGTTTTGTGACCCTGTCGCAAAGATAAGATGCACTGTACTGCTTTTTTTTCTCCATTGTTCAAACGAGCCAAAGCGGCGCCAACACAAGATATGGCAATGTCTCTTTGTGGACACTGCCCAGGACCATCAACCTTCTTCTTTCCAAAAGAGTTTATCTTCCTGAACGATGTGCATGCAAATTCGACCTCCCTTCTCCATGATCATGCATCCCTTTTCAGTCTTCCAAACTTCTAAATATGGCATTCTAATAGCGATGGCCTCCAACCTAATGACGATGGCCTCCAACCTAATAGCGATGGCCTCCACCTAATAGCGATTGCCTCCAACCTAATAGCGATGGCC